TTTCATTACAAAATTTTATGAGATATACCTGCTACTTTAATTTTGCAGGAACATTAAATGGACCTGATATACGACGTTTAATGAAAGATCAAGCATTCAAAAATGCTCTCAAAGTTGACGAGCTTGTCGAAAATGGTAGTGTTAAAGCTGTCATTAAAAATGTTCTTGGTTCATATCGGGCCCAAAATTGGCGCCATTTCATTAAAAAATGCTTTCCGTTTTGCAAAGAATTAGCGTTAATATGTCATTTAAAATAGATACATTTTCTTTTTTTTTCTTCCTGATAAATTTGCCGAACTGATGAACATGGAGAACGATTTCACCAAGTAACTGCAAATCTAGAGCATTGGTAGATATCTATGGGTATAGCGGAAAGAAGTTGGATTCATTGCTAGGAGACATTTGCTGGAATTTGCAGCAAAAGATGTACGACGATGATTAAGCACAATAATACTATAATCCAATTTGATATTTGATACGACTTAATAAATTTAAGGTAGAAAAAAACAAAATTATGCAATGCATTAAATTTTGAGGGCTTAATTTGGATAAAAAATATTGAAACTTGTTTACTTTGTTGCCCTTTCAATTTAATAATTAAAATAAACGACAAAAATGTTAAATAATGGTGAGCAGAGCATTTTATTACGAAATTATTTTAAATCTTGACGTCCTAGAGAAAAACTAATGACATTTTTGAAATCAGCAGAAAAAATGTTAAACTAAGCTGGAGTACTTAATGTTAGGAAAAAAAATTGTAAAACTATCAAAGTGTTATTACCAAGCATTTCTAATTCGTTCAATCATATTTTCACATATTTAATTTTTTTAATTGCCTATTTACTAAGATACTTTAAAGTTTCATGTTAAAAGATATTGAAATCTTAAGAGTGGTGATGATTTGATATTTAACAACGTAGCGTCGCGACAATAACTATTGTGTATTATTAATTAATTTGGTATTGCTTGGTGACCTACAGAAAGCCCGTTGGTATACCGGTGCGACCTCAACTCGATGGGTCGACTCTATCTAAAATCAGACCGCCTTGGTAAGCCACGCGCTGTTGCCGTTTGCCGCTGTCGGCACTCGAATCACACCCCCACAATCATACCACCCACTGTTGCCACGTTTGTCACCGTTCTTTTGCCAATATTGCTATTTTATTGTTCATCAGCACACAATTGTTTCTTGTCTCTATCTATTACAGTAGTCATTTTATTTGGTGAATTATGCTCAACATATTTTTATTTGTTGTAATAATAATAACTATATAGAAAGTGAGGTTATATTAGATCTGACAGAAATTGATCGAAATGTTTTTTTAAAGACTTTGACAATAATAAAGGTTAAATTATAAAACGCTGAAAGATAAAATCAATTTTTGTGACAATAAAAAAAAAATTTGCCATGAAAAACCTATTTAAACTAAAAGCATTCATAAACATTATAATGTATACTGCATAGCATTTATATTATAATGACACGCATATTTTTATACTTTTTATTTGCATATATTGATTAATAAAGGTAGTTTTTATACATACAACCTGAAACTTGAAATATCTCATGCTTTACGAAAAAATAAAAATTAAATAATTCGAGGGGGAAAATCAATCACTACTTTGGACTAAAAATAGGTAGATTTTGTCTAAAACATTTTTTCATGGTTTATTAAATTTTAATTACAGTAGATGCTCAAAATAACAAAATTAAATATTTGCTCGACGAACTCTTTTTTTCGGTTGAACACTCCCGTTTGTAGTAAACTGCTGGACTGTACGGTGAAATAAAGTACGTGATCGAATTTTTTCCGGAAAACGCTGAGCGTAGATATTAACAGCATCATCAAGATTCCTGCCTGCTTCTCAACAAATCAAAATCATTTCTATTTTTTCTTCAACTGTTAAAAAATCCATTATGAATTACTGCTTAACGAAAGGAGGTCTTTTTGTTTGTAAATTGATTAAATAATGCTAAACTATGTATAAATAGTTTCTTTATACCTCAATAATAATTATTATTTATAACTAAATACCATTTTTTATACCTCAATTACTATTGAATTAATTAATTGACAAAATAATGTTTCTTTTACCTTAAAAGAGGTATTTTTATTAAAAATAGTACAATAATCCTTTAAATTAAAGGATTTAATGCTGGCAGGTAAAAAGTGACCATGGTGCGCAATTGATAATTATCACCGAATGAAATAATGTATAAAACTTAAACCAAAGGAAACTTAAATATTGGTTAAAAAATCGTGGGTACCTACTTAAAAAAATATGATTTAATTTAATAAGATAATTTTTACCAAAAAACGTGATATTTTTTTAGAAAAATTATTGCAGAATCGTATACGAAGAAAAATTGAACAAAATTGATTTTTTTTATTACAGCCCCATGGGGCATCTATTACAAATATGAAAAAATGTTTTTGACAAAATTTTAAACATTTTTTGGCAAACTGAGATATTTCAAAGTTTCAAGTTAAAGGACTCACCCTGTACACACAAGAGTTTTAGGATATTTTTTGTACAAGAATTAACTAATAATATTTGTAAATAATATGCAGATCAAGTTTTTTAAATGTTAATAATATTTTATTATTATTATTATTATTATTATTATCGACATAATATGTCGCTGCTAAGCGATGCAGCTTAGATAAAAAGCATTATTGGCAAAATAACCACTAAATATCATCGCCATTTCATCGTTTTTTCACGAGTCGCTGTTTGCCACCTTTCTGTAGATCGCCACGTTCTATCATACCTACTACTCATACCTTCATTTTTATTTAGTTATAGACATGGTGTTTCTACTCAAAAAACTCAATGAGATCCACAATAGGGTGTTTCAAAATAAGGCAATATTTTTCTTTTTTCAAATTCATGTGAAATTCTTGTCACTTTTGCTGAAAAAAAAATTCTGTCAAAATTTGAGCTCTTAATATTAATTTTAAAAGGTACATCATCGAATTTAAAAATTTTCCGTTGATTTAACATGGAAAAATAGTTTTTTAAGATTTATTTCACCTGCATGCTATGTAGAAACCTATTTTTTCATGTTATATCAATGACAAAATTTTAAATTCAGTGATGGACCTTTTAAAATTAAAATTACAGACTGGATTTTTTGTAGATAATTTAATGCTAAAAAAGGACCAGTGATTGTTTATCAAAAAAAGTTCTACATAGCATGCAGGCGAAATAAATCTTAAAAAACTATTTTTCCATGTTAAGTCAATGGGAAAACTTTAAAAGAAAAATATTGCCTTATTTTGAAACACCCTCATCTACAACATTTATTAAGTGGTACATTTTGAATAGAAACACCTAGAAAACCTGTATATTATCGGCAAGCTTTTGTTATTCTTAGGTTTTAGTTTTTAGTAACTTTTTAAGGAGCTGAAGATGCCGATACTAGGTGGTTGAATTTACATTTTTAAAAAAGTATTTTTTCAATTAAAAACACTTAATATAATAGGGGTAAGGCTGAATTTAGCAATGGTTCGATTTTTTTAAAACCTAACCTAAAATTGATGTTTCAAATGTAAAAGAAATATTCTAATTACAATGTACTATTTTAAATACTGAGTATACAAAAATTACCAAAAAATACTTTTTCAAAAACACGTAAACCCCAAATGTAGTTTTAGCCCTAAATAGCAACCTTTGTGCCTGGTAAAAATCCTACGTAATTTGAGAGATGTAAAGTTTTCATGGAAATATTTATTTGCACTGCAAATCATGCAAATGAGGCGACGGTTAGCGTAGAGAAAAATACAACTCCACTTCGTCAACAAAATAAAAAATCTAAATAACATTTTCCACTTTTAGTGCTTTAAAAATAAAATAACTTGTCAGACACAAAAATAAAAATGGAATTTTATTTTAGGTTAATGAAAATTTAATTAAGTCAAGTAAATGCATTTTTGGGAAGAATACCCTGTTAAAATTTTCTGCCATTTTTTTCTTGTCTGAAATTAAATTTAATGCCAAAATTTTTTTGAAGTGGAGTATATTTTATTGTTTTTGCTGTAAATTTGTAAAAATTCTCGATTTTATTATTAGTATTAATTACTTACTTAAACTAGATAAATTCATTTCCCATTTATCATTTTACCAATTTTCAATAAACATGGTCAAAACTTTTACTTATGATTTTTTTAAATGTTGAAGTGGAATTAGGTGTGTTTTTCCTAGAAAAGTCACCATAATTAAAAAAAAATGTTAATATTAATAATTAATATTTAAAACTGTTATTTTTTAAAATCTATAAAAATTATTATTTGACCTTTAAAACAATTAATTACCTAATACACATAATTCAACTACAAGCGTTTATTCTATAAAATTGGAAAATTAAATATGGGTGAATATATTGAAATGTCCCCCAAGTGAAAATGATTATTTTTTATTTTTAGTTGTTTCACTGTTAGTCTGAAGATAGCTTCACGGAAGTTAGGATTTTGTATGTTTTAAAAAAAAATACAATTGTACATACATAAAATATTTATAAAAAAAGATATTACACTTCACGGTGGATAGGTTTTTAAATAGCAAATTAATGAACTTAAACTTTTGAATTATAAAACAGCAACACTCTCATCTGCATATAAATATAAACTGAGTTTCAGGAATCACATGCATCTATAATGTCGTAAACAGAGGTTTTTGCTTATTTAAAATGATTAAAGCGCCATCCGTTGCGTAAAATTTAAAGAAAAAACAGATTCACGGAGAATAGAATCAATTTTTGTAACACCTACGTAAATAGTTATAAAAATTATTTTTTTTAATTTTTAATAGTTTTATTAAATATCACGGGGGACATTTCGTGAGATTCACCCATATAGATCTTATTTTATAAATATACAATTTTTTTTTACCAAAATCATTCCAAAAAGCACGCTTGTTTCTCAAATAAAAACTCCTTATTTAACAATAATCATCGAGGTATTTTTTTCTTCATAGGCCGGGTAGGTTGCCCGCACTTTATGGCCCCGGAAGTGATAGAGAGGCGGCAGTATGGAAAGGCGGTGGACATCTGGGCCGCCGGAGTACTTTTGCACGTACTTTTGTCCGGAACTCTACCATTCCACGGTTCCGGGAGAAGACTGATGGACGCTATATGCCGCGGAAAATTGCACGTAAGTCTGACCAACTTTTTTTCAAACCCTTCTCTCCAAAAATAAATAAGTTAAAAAGACTAAGAAACGTTAATTTATTTATATCAACTGATTTAGCATATCAGTGGATATAGGTTTTTGCACGACATGGCAACGCAGTATTTTTCTTTGAAAACTGTTGTTTTCAACGTTTATATTTTCCCTAAAAAAGTCGATTTCTATACATTGACATTTTAAATTAAACATAAAACGTGATCAACAAATGATGTTCGGACGTACACATTACCCAGCTGAATTTATTTATTCAATCAGGAAGAAGATATCGGTTGAAACAGGTGCGGGTAACGCGAATGTAATAATTGTTTGTCCGCTAAGTTACTCAAAAAAATAATAAAAATAAGGTAAGAAAAAATGCAATTTTTCATGTTTATGTTTATTTTAGGGCACCAAAGCTCATTGAGAGTAATTAATGACTATAATGTCTTATTATTATTATTATTTAAATATGGTTTTACAAAACTTTGTCCACTGCGTTACCGAGTCCACTATGTTACCTTATGGTAACGCAATGGAATTTAGGGTAACGCAATAGAATTTATCGACAACAAAGTGGAAATTTACCGTCGCTTTTATTAAAAGTAGTTTATGATTAACCAATTTAAAATTCTTTGTAATTAAAACTCAAGATATAGATTACATCCAAGGAAAAATTCCACGCAATATAAAAGTACTAAAAGGGACCTTCACCAGCTTATAGTCAAAGAAAAAGGGTGTCTACAATTTAGAAATCTAAGTTGTTATTCTGCAAGTGAGCACCACTACAAGGGATTTTGTTTATGCATTACTCTAAAATCGTACCACCCTATATAGTTTCTTTTTTACGTTATCTGATTAAGTCCTTTGTGTACCCCTGTCCGTTGTGATACCAATGTCTATTTCGTTACTTTTTTTTGTTAAAAAAATACTTAAAATGATTTTTATACACTATCGCTTATTAATACGTGTTTATAAATTAGAGTTTAATTCACTAATAGAGTGAGTAAAAGAAAATATTAATGGTATTGTTTTTTTAACAAAGAATCGGAATGGTTTCTTTTAAAAAGTAACTTAACGAACATACATATTTAAAAAAAAATGAATACAATTTTTAATAAAAAATAAAATAAAAAATTGTCAAAAGTTTGTGAACTAAGTAAATTTTATTTCAAATGATTTTTATTGAATTAAATTTTGGATTTCAAATTGGTAACATAGTGGAGATATATAAACCTAGCTAAACACATTTTTCTGAAATAATGTAAAAAAAATTAAAAAGTGCCTGTCTTAAATGTAAGTAAACAAAACTCTAAACATTTATAAAAATCCAACCAAAAGTCAATTAAAGCAAAAAAAAATGTGTTTCTTGAAAATGACCCCAATAATACAAGTTTAAAAGGCATTTAATAGGAAATGTTATAAAATTAAAAATATGCTCTGAAACAATATTTTTATTATTAAAATAGAATTTCAACAGTTAAATTTTAAAATTAGCTTTATTAAAGTAACTGTTTTTAAAATTTGTGTACCTATATTTTTCAATATAAATTATTTTAAAAACAAAGTGTACTCTCTAAAAATGAATTAGTCAAAAATGACTAATTTAATAGTTCTTAGTGGCTGCTTTTTCACTTGGATTATGTCTAACCATAGAATACCATGGTATCCCAAAATTTAACAGCCAATTCTTATGTAAAATTGTCCCCTGAATCCGAAAATGCCGTCAAAAATTATGAAAGTGGAGCAGTTTTTGAGATATAGTCAATTCCATATTAAATGGAAAATTGACTATACTATGCCCTACTATGGAGAAAGGCAGTAACTGCTAAACAGGAAATTTGTGGAAAATTAGCATAAACTACATTTGTATAAAAAGCAGTAGGTACTTAATTACATTTTTTTAACTTATGAGATATTTGACTGCATTTCTGTGTTGAATTTTGTTACAAAATGTCCATAGCTTTACCATAGCACAAGAAAACGCATTTTGCATTTTTTTGCAGTTACTGCCTTTCTCCATAGTAGGGCAGTATATCTCAAAAACTGTTCTACTTTTTTAACTTTTGACAACATTTTCGGATTCAGGGGACAATTTTACATAAGAATTGGATGTTAAATTTTGGGATACCATGCTATTCCATGGTTAACCATGTTACAAGTGAAAAAGCAGCGACTAATAACTATTAAATTACTCATTTTTGACTAATTAATTTTTAGAGAGTATAAGCCATGCATAATTTTTTTCATTGGGGGACAGGCAAGGGTAAACTATATGTAAATTATAAATGATAAATCAAGAATATGTTTTTATTGGATACCTTTATTTTGAATTATAAATTTATATATTAAATTTAACATGCTGCCTCTGGTATACATTTATTCGCATCCCGTAAATACCCAGGTTTACATGCACAACCCGGTTGACATTTTGTGGGACACCCATTTGGTTCGCATGGGGGTGGGGGAAAACATAATTGGGGACATGGGACACAGTCTGTATAGATCTCGTTTTCCCGAGGACATCTATTATCTAAAAAAAAATTTACACGTGTCTACAAGAATTTTGGTTTTTTAAATAATAAATAAACAATGAACACTTACCGGATATTGCTGAAGCAATACACGTCACAAAAAACAGAAACAGCAAAGATAACCTCATACTAAAAATTATACTAATATGATGATTACTATTGCCTCTTATTTATATGTTTTGTATGATTACAATTTTTATTACTTTCTTTAAAACAATAAAAGGGGAATTACTTTATTATCTAGACTTTGACACACATTTATTTTTAGCGTTAATAGAGCACAATAAAAAAACCATAAATAAAATGAATGAAATATTTGTGCAATTAGTGCAATATGCATAAAAACGCTGGTAAATTAAAAAAAAAATAGTTCAACGATTTATAGAGTTTTTCGTTTAAGCATTTGTCATTTATACAATTCATGTTTTCAAATAAATTAAAATAAAAAACCCATAAAATAATTTGTTGTTTTAAATTTCATTTTTTTTTAAACTTTAGGTAATTTGACTTGGTTAAAATTGAATTGGTAAATTTTTTATTCAGTTGTATTAAATTTGCTATTTTAAGGAATGTTATAATAAATAATAAGTTTAATTTAATATGAAGATGATATAAAAAAAATTGCGTATACACTGAGAATTGAATAAATTATTTTCTTCCCTCTAATTTTTGAGAATAAATTCAGTGCACATTTTAAACTATCAAATAAAACAAAATTTGACAACATTGGGAGTAGTCTCATGTTTGATTTAGTTTGTGCTAAAATCGCTATCCAGAACATGGTGTAATGGGTGGGGAAGGAAAGGGAAAAGTTTGTAACAAAGTTTCCGAAATTTAATTCATTAATGTCATTGTAAAGAAGGAGAGTTTAGGGGAGAAGGTAGTGGCAATACCGCACAAATGGACAAAAAAGGAAAATTTAATGAGCTAAAATTTAGCAGTTTACTTTAATGGATTTTATCGTTATACGGACATAACCCAAAAACGGTCTGACAATTTTTTTTAGTTTAACAGAATTTGTAATGAGTTTTAAAAAAGAAAAAAAAAACACTTTTAATTACATACATTTTTTAAAACATTATAATAACAGTTTAAAAAATCGACTAGCCGCTAATTTAGTTGAAAATATGTTTTCAATTAAAATAGCTGACAGTTTGGCTAGTTTATAAACTATCCAGCTAGTTTATAAACTATCCAAGTTTGCACATTAGCCGTAACATATATAAGTATAAAATACAACGTATATCCAATAAAGAGAAGAATATTTTTTCTTGCAGCTGGACACATCTCCACAATGGGAATTCATTAGCGATAACGCGAAAGACTTAGTTTCCCAAATGCTTTCCGTAGACCCCAAGCAAAGAATAACCATCCAGGAAATATTGAATCACAGGTGGTTGAGGGTAAGTAAGACCCAGTTTTTTTCTCGAGCCATAATTAAACGTCTTTTAATTGCGGTTATGCCCGGGCTTAATTTCACCTTGCCTTAAGAAAATAAAAAGTGACACACAAAAATATTTAATTTTTATTTTAAACATTTTTTCGTAAAATGCCTGTTTACTAAGAAGTTTCAAGTTAAAAACTCACCATGTATACTATTTCTTATTATTATTTTAAAGAAAGTCCTTATTTTCAGTTTTAACGTGACCTACTAAGGACTTTTACCATTAATTCCAAATTAATTTATCAATCTATAACAGCTCCATTATCGTATACAATGAGAGGGTACACAATAAACAGATTTAATGACTAATGAAAAGCGAATTTACGATCTATTTTATTGCGCACCCCTACGATTTTATTAGAGTGTGGGTCGTCCTGTCAAAAGCCCTAAACACATCCCTAAAATTTACTGCCTTCAAAAGCCGACAAATCCATTTTCACAGAAAAGAGGAAAACATTAATCTTGACATTTTGCTACTATTGATAATACCTTTTAAAACATTAATTTTACAGACTTGACCCATATGATCTTTCTTCAAGTGGGTAAATTAGTCACTTAGAAAGTTTCTTGTAGGTGACTAATTTACCCACAAAAATGATTTTAATTTTTTTCTCTAAAGTAAGCCGTTTACAAGTTATTAGCAAAACAAAACCATCAATTTTACAGAAAATTTGGAATTTTTTAGATATTTCTCTCTCTTGTGTTTCAGGACAGAGATAAGGCTCTGAAAATTCACCTAAACGATACTATTGAAGAATTGAAAAAGTTCAACGCGCGTAGAAAATTAAAGACATTTATTTTGAGTGTTGTAAATTCTAGTAAATGGTACCCGTATGACGATACGAATGCAGACAGTTTTTCTGACTTCGGAGATGATGAAGTGTCTTCCTGTGGTAAGTTATTTCATTTTTTTTATTCTAATTACCTATAGGTAGCCTTTAGTGCTTATTAACTTTATTAAACACATTTCAAGAATATGAGCATTATTCATTGGTACATTCACACTATTTATTATTAAAATAAATCAAAAGGGTAGAAAAACTTAATGCGAGTGTTTATTACCCCTTAATGTGTTAAATAGCCAATTTCTTTGTCTGTTTTGATGTTACTAAGAGCTCTTTTTTTCTTTACACTACTAGTGCACATTGTATCACAATTAAAGTTAAATTACACCAATAGTGGCTAAATAGACTGAAAAAACTGGTAATAACCGAAATGCGTTTTAAAATTTTTGGTTGGTACCTATCTACCTAGGCAGTGCATATCCGGAGATTGTGGAAGTGTGGCATTTTTGTTCAGTTTGATTTTAATTACGGTGCATCCATAAGGGGACATTTATATTTTTTGGTAAGTATTATACTTCCTTTTTCTTTAAGCCTTAATACTCAATAAATATCAATATGTTAAAAGGATGTCCATACCCGACCTATATTATATATCAATAATTTACGGCAGTAGGTCGGGTACTTGTAACATTAATAATATAAATACATTCACACTTAATTTACTTTTTATTTTCAAGCGTAATGATTGTTATATTAACCTATACCTACATTTTTATTAATATTATGGAAAATTTGTACACGTGTGGTAAATACCCGACATACAGCCGCCTGACGCCTCTCTACCAATGGGATCACCCATTTTTTATGGGAATGGATTACTGATGAATTTTCAAGATAATTCATTGCTTACAAGTTGACAGCCAGTAAAACATTGCATTGATCTAAAATTTTTTCGTTTTCAAGGAACCATTTTGCTTAAGCCAGCCATACGACTCAAATATAAAATTATATTTTAAAAGGCACCGATTTTGATAATTGTCATAGATTTTTGTTCCAAATAAATGTTTCTCTTTATTTACCTCTTCGTTTTATTCACCACCACCAATAGGTTTTACTTAAATAATAGTGTTAATTTACACTGGAAGTTTGCACTAAAAGAGTACCTTTCTAAAATTAGAATAGAACACTATTTAGTGTGGACCTTTGTGAACTCTAATTAGTGTTAGAGTTGATTTTTTTTACTGCGTACAGTTTTATTACAAAATGTCTGTAAGGAACACCCTGTAGTGCATTTCCTGTTTCAGCATAAATTTTCTGGGGAAATGTTTGTTTAGCTCGAATTGGTACAAGGGAGAGAAAATGCAAAATGCTCGTAGATCGTCTACATACTTTGACAATTATTCAAAGCCGCGTTCTCGCGCTAGAGACTGCTAATATTGATTGCTCTAAGGATATTGTTCTTTTGTGAATGGTAAGAAGCGATTAGTTTGCTCGGTGCGGATGGATTTTTGCTTTGTAAAACGTTCGCTGGCAAAAACCACAGCTCGGATATTTCAGCACTTTGCGAGACGTAGAGGCGTTACGGAACAACGAGCGAATTTTTTTTGTCACCATCGAAATTTATCGTTGGTGTTTACTTTTTATTATCGCGCATCATCGCGCTTTCTTGTGCTCCAAATCAAACGTCTAAATAATGAATGCTTGAGTATTAGATTTTTTGGGTTTATATATTAGTTTGTTAACCTAGTACACTGAGAAAAATAAACGCATTGACTTTTTTCTTGTTAAGTCAAACGAATAGATATCTTGAAGCAAATAGAATAACTTTGAGTGGGAAAATACATTTTGCAATATTACCTAAGATAACCAATGAAATGATTTCCCGATTGAAATAAGACGTCAACTGCAATCTGCATTATCAGTTTGCAGTTTTAGTTGGTGTTAGGAAGTGTATCATTGTGAGGTTAGTACCACATTTCTGGTGAGTAATTATTGAATATTATTTTTCCGAGTAGGTGGGTAGGTATTTGCAAAATTGTTCAAGGACTGGGATAAATCAATAATTATGACCTGGTGATCAAATGAGGATAATAAGTGTTTCTATGTTCCTACTGTGCTACATTATTGATCAGCTTACTATTTACTTTAGTTTGTAATTTATGTTTTCAGTTTATATTAACTTAATTCTATCCTTACAACATTTTTCTGTTGGTCGCTACATTTGTATTATTATAAGTTCATGTTGAATTATATCTCAATATTATTCGAATTAGCTGTACGAATTTTATTTTTCAGTTTGTAGTTTATGTTTTGTTACGTTTATTGTATGTTGTCAGTCAGTTTAAATTAAGTTTAGGTATTCTATTTTTTTATATTTTTTGTATAAGTCGCTGAATACATAGGTATATAAATTAATAATTTAGTTTCATTTTCCTTTTTACCATCCCAAAAATTATTACAAAATGTTATCACTAAAAGTCTCCAAAATACTCATTTACTTACACAAATTATATGAGCCGATTAGATTAAAATATGTTCAATTATGAAACCAAAAACAACAAATTATTCTCTGTGTATTAATAGAAATAAGGCGCTTCTTACAAAAACAACCATGATCCAAATTGGTATTCACGTATAATTTTAAATTAATATTTCGAAGCAGTAGGTAATCGTTAATTTAGTAAGATAATGTATATGACATTAAAACTACATATTTTTAACTAATCATTCGGTTAAATCAGCCCAAATCTATCTTTATAATTGTTTATGATATGATTGTTTATGTAAATACCTGCAAACTAAGCTCTACCTTTCATTTCAAAGTATTTTTCGTAATATAGTATAAATACTACTAAAAAAAAATATTGTAATATTTAAATTTAACAATATTTATAGTAGATTTTTTAAAGCTTTTAATAATCGTAATAATAGTTATTTATGTATTAAGGGCATAATAAGGTTTTTATGGTCCGAGGCGCTATTTCGAGCCCGAGCGCGTTAGCGCGAGGGCTAGAAAAGCGTCGTAGGACCATAAAAACCAGTCATGCCAGCAATGCATACAAAACTTTATGCACGATTAATATATTATTATTTTTAATATATTATTGTTTTTAAAGACGTTTACGTCAAAGAATTTTTTTTATAATTGTCATATTATAATGTCAACTGACATCAGTCAGTTTTAAAGTTTAAAGATGAATGAAATTGAGGAAGCAGCTGAAAAGGCAAAAAATTGCGGCCTGCTGCCGGAAAAATCAAAATCTTTATACGAAAAAACTTACTTCGAATATATCAAATGGTGTAACATTGTTGTTTTTAATTTTTGACGTTTCATTATAGCCCGCTGGGTCATAATAACGCCCGCGGGACGTTTACGTCAAAGAATTTTTGTTATAATTGTCATATTATAATGTCATCGTGCATAAAATACTATTTTATTATGATAATAGGTCTAAAAACTAGAATAATAATTGTAAAATTTACAATATCTTTTTTTAGAGCATTGAAATGGAAAACAAATCCATTTCTTAAAGTTTCTTCATTTTAATTTGACATTGCCAAAGTATTAGATGAATATTGTAGAATTGTTAAAACAAGTAAATAAATATTTTTTTCTACTCCCACCTTTAAAACGCCCTTTATCGTACATGTTTCCATGATACTAAGTGCACAAAGCCACAACTTGTCAATGTGTATTTAAAAGGTCATGACCTTTTAAATACACATTGACAAGTTGTGGCTTTACGGCGCTTTAGTCACGGGCTGAAGTTAGCAACAGGTTTTTAGTCACGGGCTGAAGTTAGTTTTAAGTTATTTGACAGTTGTCAAATGTCATACAATCGTTAAAATAAAGTGCCTTTCTTGTAAAATAATACTAAATGTGAAAATTATTTTATTATCTCAATACAAAAATACAAAAATATTAAATAGTTTCTCAATGCCAATATTTGAAAAGTTTATATGAAATTTCGCCGGCAGAAAACTATAACTTAAATTCGGGCACGGACTCTACTGTAAAGTCCTCATAAAACATTTCCTTTACTTTCACTGTGAAAAACTGTCAATTTTCAAGATACATTTCGATTTATAAAGTTTATAATTGTGCTTATAAAATGTAAAAATGTGAAATTTGACAGTTTCCCCTGTTGTTTCATAGATGGCGCTCTATACAAATTTTT